GAGCACAGTTCTACTCTGACACATATGGGGTATGCTGGATTTCAGTTCAATGGCAACTGGTTTGGTAGGATGGCTATGATGAGAAAAACTGAAAACAAAAGGTATTGGTGGAGATGTAGAGAAACTGGAACTCTCATCTTTTGCTGGTGGAATTGTACGATGGTACAGCTGCTATAGAAAACAGTTTGATGGGTCCCCAAATGTCATTCCAATGTTACTAATATGACAGTAAATATATTTTTTGGAATAAAATTCTAAAAATGTAGAATTGCCATATGTTCCAGTAATTCCACTCCTGGGTATATACTCAAAATAATTGAAAGCAGGAATGCACCCCAATCCTCACTGCAACACTCTTCATAATAGCCAGAAGGTGGAAACAACCAAAATGTCCATCAACTGATGAATGGATAAATACAATATGGTACATACATACAATGAAATACTACTCAGCCATAAAGAAAACATGAAGTTCTGATACATGCTAAAACATGAATGAAACTTGAAAACATTATGCTCAGTGAAATAAGTCTGACACAAAAGGACAAATATTATATGATCCCACTTGTACAAAATATTTAGAATAGGCCAAAGTATATAGACCAGAGTTATTAGTGGTTGTCAGGCGTGGGAGAGAAAAAGTTGTCACAACCTTGAAAATCAAAAGGTCCAGCCTTGAAACCCCTATGGAGCAGTTCTACTCTGCACACCTGGGATCCCCTAATTGGATGGCAACAACAGCTGGGAGGCAGAGGTTAGAGAAAAGGGGAAGTCACTGCCTTGGGGACACTGAGTTTTTATTAAGACTGATGAAAAAATTTGGGGAATGGATGGTGGTGATGATTGTACAGTATGATGAATGTAATTAATGTCACTGAATTAATTGTACATGTGAAAAAATGTTGAAATGACAAATGTTTTGTTATTATAAACCCTTTGGGGCAGTTCTATTATGAGTCATAATCGACAGCAGTGGGTTTGGTTTTTTGGTTTTGGTACCACAATAAAATAAATAAGAACAATACTTTAAAAAGGCTAAGAACCCATGAGATACTAGTCTCTTCCAGCATTTTCATATTGCATGAGGTGCTTTAAAAGTTATCTATTTTCAGATAAGCTGGATAACTGGGATCTTCTAAAAATCAAACACCTATGCTCTTCAAAAGACTTCACCAAAAGAATAAAAAGAGAACCCACAGATTGGGAAAAAATTTTGGGACACTACAAGTCAGACAAAGGTCTAATCTCCATAATCTACAAGAAAACCCAACACCTCCACAACAAAAAGACAAATAATCCTATTAAAACATGGGCAAAGGAAATGAACAGCACTTCACCGAAGAAGACATTCAAATGGCCAACAGACA